ATATTTGTATGTTTCATTTCTCCCTCAGTAGTGTAATCCTTATTAAATGTAACTATATATTAATTTCATCATAGGCATTTTAAAGTCAGTATAAGGGAGAGTCCTCATTTGCACATGTTCCATTGCTTTGTGTTCTGTTAAGTAAAATGAAGTACTTAAAGACTATTATTATTTACTACTATATGGATGGTATGATTTATGTATTATATGTTCAGATGTCTTTCAGCTGATGTTTCTCAGATTTGTTTTCAGTGCTTAATACAATAATGTAACTGTAAATCAAACATATTTACATCATTTCTCGTTAGAGTCATAGTCTGGCAGAGCTGCCTTTATTTTTGTATTCTGTCAGAATTTCTCTTGTAATCATTCCTTTTACATTCCCCAGAATGTACCTCCATTGTGAATTTTTTATTCATATTAAAGGTGTTTGCTGCAATATCTCGTTCTTTGTCAATGACTACAAATAGAATTCTGATGTATTTCTTTTCAGCAAAAGCTATTAGAACTATCAGATGAACATGACATTTCAGTTTCAGTAAATGAGCTTTGGGAGCATGGAAACAATTTTATAACCTACCATAAGGTGAGTTCACATTATATGCAAGTTAAAATCCAGTGCAAACAAACCTACTTGTGAATACAGGGCAGTGATTAAATGTTGAATTACTGCCATCTAAAGTCTGAGGCTTCAAAGCACTCGTTTTAGCTTTTGACACTTATAAATAGTACCAGCTCACATTTGTAAGGATGAATGCTCATCACTGCTGTTGTCTTGAATTCCTTGTTCATAATTACTGTTATGCAGGGCTTCAGTCATGCCAGAATACTCCTGGATGCCATATAGTGCTTTTAAATGGCTTTCTAGTACTCTGTTATCCATGATAGTACCAGGAGTATATGCTGTGCTTCTTTACTTGTAAGAAAGCAACTGGCGCACTGTTGCCATGAAGTCCATGACCTTTAATGGATTTTTGCATATATGTGTGTGACTGCGTAGGTGAGGAGTCTTTTGCAAATTACCCATATGAATGCACAGGACACTCATTGAGGGCAGACACACAGCAACACCACAGCTGAGACATAAGGTTCTGGACTTCTGTGCTGATACTTGAGTAACCTGTCAGATCAGTAAATGAAAAATAATTCTTCTAAAATACACATTATCGTATCTCTTCCCCACCTGAATTGAATGTTTAAAGCTGAAACTTATACTGCAGTTGGCCTGGGAGGAAATAACTGTACAGAAATAGTGTGGCCTCCGTTTAAATTCACCTTTGCAGGATTGATCTGAATAATTGTATGGTCCACTGGAAATGGTGCTCCAGCCACCCACCCACAGGGCTGAAGCACACAAAATCTACTAACCTGGGCCCTCTAGGTTCTGGAGTGCAAGAGGAAAGTGAAGAGTGTCTTTCTCCTTCTCGTTGAGGAGCTCTCACTTTTCCTTTCACTTGTGTGCAGCTCCCAATTGTTTTTTCTGTGGGTCAGCAGCCCCTGACCCAAAAAAGGTTCTCCATCCTGGTCTAGGGACATAATCCCTGTCTGTCCTATCTTCAATTAATTTATCTAGCTCTTTTTTTTACCCTGTTAATGTGTTAGCAGTTCCGTGTATTAGCTGTGTGTTGGGTGAAGAAATACTTCCTTGTTTTAAACCTGTAACCTCTTAATTTCCTTTGCTGATCCCTAGTTCTTGTGCTATGGGAAGAAGTAAATACCTATTCACTTTCTTCATACCAGTCATGATTTTATAGACCTCTATCATATCCTCCCTTAGTCCTGAAAAGTCCCAGTTTTATTAATCTCTCCGCATATGGCAGCCGTTCCATTCCCCTAGTCATTGAGATGACAAACCACATCTGCACACAGTATTCAAGATGTTGATATACCATGCATTTATATATAGAGGCATAATATTTTCTGTCTTATAATGTGTCCCTCTCTTCATGATTCTCAACATTCTGCTTGCTTTTCCACTGCCGTTGTACACTGAGTGGATGTTTTCAGAGAACTAACCACAATGACTCCAAGATCTATCTCTCTTGTGAAGGGTAACAGATAATTTAGTCCTCATCATTTTATATGTACAGTTGGGATTGTGTTTTCCAATATGCATTACTTGGCAGATGAAATTCAAATGTTGATAAATACAGTTTTGTTGCCCAGTCGCCTAGTTTTGTGAGATGCTTTTGAAGTTCTTCATGGTCTGCTTTGGACTTAAGTATCTTGAACAGTTTCATATATTCACATTTTGCCACCTCACTGTATACCTCTTTATCCAGTTCATATATAAATATGTTGAATTGAATCAGTCCCAGAACAGACTCCTAGGAGACACCACTATTTACCTCTCTCCACTCTAAAAACTAACCACTTATTCCTACTGTTTCCTCTTTTATCCATTTACCAATCCCCAAGAGCACTTGCCCTCTTATCCCGTAACAGCTTACTTTAAGTGCCATGGGTGAGGGACCTTGTCAAAAACTGTCTGGAAATCTAAGTACACTATATCCCTTGGATTCCCCCTTGTCTACATTCTTGGAATTCTAATAGATTGGTCAGACATGATTTCCCTTTACAAAAGCCATGCTGATTCTTCCCCAAAAAATTATATTCATCTATGTATCTGACAACTCTATTCTTTACTATAGTTTCAACCAGTTTGCTTTAATGAAGTTAGATTTACTGGCCTGTAATTTCCAGGATCACTTCTAGAGCCCTTTTTAAAAATTGCATCACATTAGCTATCTTCCAGATACAGAAACTGATTTAAAGGCATGGTTATGAACCACAGTTAGTAGTTCTGCAGTTTCACATTTGAGTTCTTTCAGAACTCTTGGGTGAATGCCTTCTGGTCCTGGTGGCTGCTTATTGTTTAGTTTATCAATTTGTTCCAAAACTTCCTCTGACACCTTAATCTGGGACAATTCCTCACATTAGTCACCTAAAAAGAATGGCTCAGATTTGGGAATCTCCCTGCTGTCCTCAGCTGTAAAGATCAAAGCAAAAAATTAATTTAGTTTCTCCACAATATCCTTATCTTTGAATGCTCTTTTAGCATCTAGATCATCCAGTGGCCCCATTGGGTTATTTAGCAGGCTTCTTGCTTCTGATGTACCTTAAAAACATTTTTGCTATTACCTTTTGAGTTTTTTGGATTGCTGTTCTTCACATTCTTTTTTAGCCTTACCCTTAGTTTGCCAGAGTTTATGCTCCTTTCTATTTTCCTCACTAGGATTTAATTTCCACTCTTTAAGCAATGCCTTTTTTGTGTGTCACTGCTTTTTAGTTTAGCCATGGCGACACTTTTTGGGGGTTCTCTAATTGTTCTTTAATTTGGGGACCACATTTAAGTTGAGCTTCTAGTATTGTTTTATAAGTTTCCGTGAAGATTGCAGGGATTTCACTCTTGGCACTGTGCCTTTTAATTTTTGTTTAACTAGCATCTTTATTTTTGTATAGTCCCCTTTCTGAAATTTAATGCTACAGTATTAGCCCACGACAGCAATGTTAAATCTAATTATATTATGATGACTATTTCCAAGCAGTCCAGCTATATTCACCTCTTGGACCAGATCCTGTTCTCGATTTAGGATTAAATTAAGAATTCTCTCTCCTATTGTGGGTTCCAAGATTGCTCAGAGAAGCAATCATTTAAGGTATCACAGGACCTGATCTTTCCATCTCAACCTAAGGTAAACAGGTACCCAGTCAATGCTGAAATCCCCCATTATTATTACGTTGATTTTTATGGTCTCTCTAATCTTCCTGAGCATTTCACATTCACTGTTATCATCCTGGTCAGGTGGTCAGTAAGATATTCCTACTGCTATATTCTTAATAGAGCATGGAGATTCTGTGGTACAGTTTGGTTCATTTAAGATTTTCACTTCAGAGCTAAACGTGTTGTCTGTTTTAAGCTTGACACTTCTAAATACTCTAAAATTTGAATAGTTCCTCCATTTGGTTTGAAATGTGGTGTACCTTGGGGGGGGGTTAGTATTAATTATCTGTATCAGTGGTAATTTAACGATGGGGTTCTCAAGTTATAGCCCACTCAAGGACACCACTTTCTTCGAGTGGTTGCTCATGTCCATTCGAATAACGCATGCACCGTTCCCAAGCGGTAACTGTAGCTCTGACAGGTTGTCCCCTGGAGTGGCACCACTATAGCGGAGCATAAGTACCCCTGCCGGCGATGCTCCTCCACAGTTCCTTCTTACCGCCTGTGACAGTTGTTGGAGCATGTCTATCTTCTGTAGTTAATGGTTCCCGTTTCTAGTTAGAGTAGTTCAAGTAGTTAGATAGATAGTTAGCAAGTTCTTTGTTCTCCTTCCCCCCCCTTCGGGGGTAAGGAATGCCAGGGCCCCAAAGCTTTAAGGCTTGCGCAGTATACGCGA